AATCTCGTTTCAAATTTACGAATAGCAGTCTTTAAGACGAGTACGGAAACTTGGCAGTCACTAAATTCTTACCCGTTCAAGCCATCGCTTTAATGATATTTGACATTCAATTATAGCGAAAATAATAATAATTGGCAGAAATTGTTCGTTTAATTACATCAAGTATACATATTACAATCAGAAGGTCGGAATATCATTAGCAGTCATATAAATCTTTCTTCTTCAATAAGTGCCACTAATTGCGTTTAGAAATCCTACAATGCATGTCCATTTGGGCAAACATATGTAGTGAAAGTGTATACAACTTTTAAAAACATTTAGCGAAAAAAGCTGCCCGACAGGGTAATAAAATTTAAATAGTCCCGAAATTTTACTGTGAAAGAGAAAATTTATGAGCGTAGTGTTTTCGCCGTACCCCTTTCGTTATATTCGGTATAACTAATTTATATTGTGAATCGGCTTTTAGATTAGGTATATATAGCATGGCGTGCGCTGCAGAAATTTGTGAAGTCCGAAAATTGAATCTGGAATAAATTGGTTTACTAAAAATAGGCTGAAATTAATAAGGCTTTAACACGCTATTTAATTGAAAGCGATTTGTATATCCTTACGGTTTTGAAGGGAACAAAATTATGACGAGAGTGATGTACAATTTTTTTCGATACGCCGGTAACAGGTTTAATTAAATGTAAAATGGCACTTACATTACAATCAAGTAGAGAGAGTTTGCACTAAAAAAATGAGCGTTTCCCTTATTTATAGCTTTAGGATATATTCCCTCTTTGCGTGCGTTACCTACGTAAATTTCACCCGTCTGTTAAGTTAGGTATTTCGTTTAGCTTTAGACTTATATATTCTTTGTTTCTTCACTTACCCGTCGATTACGTGTGTTGTTTCGGGATATATTAAACCTTATTTTTCGTTTATAATATTACTTGTTTACTTAAAAAAATTTGAAAAAAATTCCCTTTGGAGTCGTCCATTAATCATGTGATGTTTTTTATTAACTTTTTAACCCCTCCCCCCATGGTGAGTCTTAATACTAACCCCCTCCTGCTACCCAAAATCAAGTCTATTTTTTAAGTACAAAGTTTCCCAAAAATGTTCAAAATATGTTTAACTCTTTATCTTTAAATACAGGTTAGTACTTATATAATCTAATTTAATTCTGGCAAATTAAGGAAAATGTCCAAACAAACATTAAGGTTGCAAGTTAAAAAATCGCGCATTTTAGGGAAAAAAATAAAGACACGTAATTATCTCACCACTCATTCTTGTGATATTTCGTGATTTTTAGAGCGTCACGTGATTAATGGACGACGCCTTTTGAGAAGTATAAAAAAAATAAACAACAATATTGTTTACGATGCCCTGGTGATATTGACCCCATAAACCCTTGAAGAAAGATTTACTGAATCAACTTCCTCATTAGTGGGGCGATTTTTTAAAATTTCAGCAGTGGCCATTTTTATTAAAAGTAAGTCGATTCTTTACCACAAAGCCGAATGTATTGCACGCATGTGCAGAACTAATTTTTTTATTAGTGGTGCGATTTTTCTGAAATTGTAATGCTACTTCTTTCTAATAAAAGCAAACTAATCGCTTAGGTCTCGAAAACTGAGTGTTGAAAGAGATTGATTGCAAAGCGCAAATTATAGATGCTGGTCCATAAACAAGGCCACTCTTTAGTTACGCAGCCGTGAAATCACTTTCACCAAGGCCATGACTTTTTTCGTCTACGAAATCCCAAAGCCACAACCTGACTTGCTTCGAATTTCAACAAATAAAAAGAAAAACATAAACAAGTGAATAACCAAAAGTTATATTTTCATACATCACATCAGCAGTCTGAATTGTAGTGGTGAGGCTCGGTGAATTCTTCCTTGGGGTATTGATGGGGTCATGACTGGTAGCGTTTTAAAGTAGCTGTTAACGACGTTACGCCCAAATAGCGTTGGCAAAAAGCTCCATGGACATGCAAATTCCATGGCCAAAAGGGCACGCATACTGACCAATCTCGTATTAGCTGATATGATAATAACTGAGACAGACTTCACCAATGATGAACGTGGTGAAGTGGAAAGACCGATTACAGAATAATTTTAAGTTTATTCAATGAATAATTTATTCAATGGTTTATTGTAAGCAAATACATTACGAGAGAATTGTAAACGACAGGACCTGGATACTATAAAATAACGCAATGACAAGATTGTAAAAAACAAACATACAAAAATAAGAATCTATAACAAGTAAGGTATAAAAGCACAGATGCCAAACTTCTTTACACACACTGTGGAATTTCTCTGGCTAGGGAGTAAATGGTACTTGATAATAAAAAATTTCTTAAATTCCGCTTAAACCCAGTAATGCCGTTTGGATCTTGAATATGTCAGGGTACATTAAAAGTTTGTTATTAGACTATTTCGAGAGAGATTAGATAATAGAAACTGATTTCTCTAAATCCCCCCATGATGATGATACGCACGGAAATGAGATAGTACTGTCATCAGCGTACATTATGGTGCAGCATTCATTTAAATATTGAGGCAGATCATTTATGAACACACTAAATAAAATATGCCCCAGAATGGACCCTTGTGGGACACCTCCTATTCGTAGTCTTCATTGCAGAGTTATAATCAGGGACGCCTTTTCTAATATTGGCACATACGCCCACGTCCAAGCTTTGATGTAAATATTATCGAATGACTGCTCTTAAGCAATTTATCCAGGCGGGGCGGAAGGGCAATAGCAAGATACTCTCATTCTTTCATTCAGCGGGACATTTCTTTTACGCAAACAGTACCCGACACTACCTTCAAGACAATGCAACACAGGGTTTTCGGCTTTTCAAACTTGGGGATAAACTACTTTTATGAGCCCTAACAGCATATTTAAAAAATTGCTGTGGCTAGCACAGATACCATGCGCAGAACTGCGCATACGCGTTTTGCTCGAAAACTTTTCAGCTGTTTTTTAAGTCTAAGAATATGTGCACCAATAAATGTGGTTCTAATCGGTTCAGCCGTTTAGCCGCAAATGAGAGTACAGACGGACCGACAGACCGACATCATCGAGATTTTGTTTGATTCGGATTCCTGGTGCTTCAAAACGTGTATTTCCGTTGAAAAAGTGGGGGTCATTTTTTACTCTAATGCAATACCTACCTCCCTTTACTAACGTGCGGGTGGTAAAAATTCATGAGCGTTTGAGATGTTTGATGTTGTTATCAACAGTAATCATAATATAATTCAACAGATGTCTCAAAATAAAATGAGCACTTCGGCTTCGGCCTTTCGACTAGACTTCGCCTAATTTTTTTTGACATTAAAAACAATAGTTTATGAGTCTGCACCTGACAATATTCAAGAGCTAAGATGGGGTGCAATTATGATTTTGTGGGGGTACGGTGGTAAATGCTAAAACTAAGATAAACATCCCCTTAACTTCTCTCTAGCTATCCATATAGCTGTATACATGTGTTTTTTGCAGTCTTTGTTTTTCTATTAAAAAATTACAAATTACAATTACAAAAAAAGAACGAACAAATTTAGGCGTTTGTGTTTCGTAATCGCAAAGAACGGAACAACGGAAGAATGGCATACTGTCCCCAATTAAGTATTATATATGTGTGTCCTTGATGCTCGGAAATGTATTCTCATTAGCACCTTTCATACCATTACATGAAAACTATAAACTAAGTACCTGCCCTTTTTATAACTTACTTTTATTTAAATTCCGTATTCTCTTTATATCTTATTAGGTCGGAAGTACCCTAATTCGAGCGCTCCATTTCTCATATAACTTCCGCCTTTATTGCTTAAATTTAAACGCCGCTCCATTGCGTACACAGCATGGTTTATTATCTCTACCATCGTTCACTTTTAAGCTAAACTCAAAATTGAGTGATAACTTTGATCCAACCATATAAATAGTTATCGTGAGTGGTAGGCAGTTAGGCACGCGAGCAAGCATTTTCTATTTTTCTTGGATCAGAGGTTATAGGTTATCGACCTCTCAAAAAACAGAGTAATTACAAATTAAATGAGTAGATGTATTGGCCGAAGACATGCGGGCAAGCTAAGTGCTCATAATTGCGCTTTCGTATAGTTGACAAATGCACTGAAAGTGTTGTTTGTGAGTATGCACTAGGTAGAATTTTTGCATATTTATGCCAAAAACTTATCTGACAGAACCAATTCCGGCATTATGGCTCAATGCGCTGAGTTATAAATCCGGAGGTCGGGTGTTCGAACCTGGGTTGAGGTGAATTTTTCATCTGTGGCAGAGATGGAAATTACCTTAGACCAGTTTCGAGCATTCTGCCGGCTACTCCGAATTAGGTTTTCCTGCAGTTTTCCTAATTCGTATAAGGTAAATGCCGGAGTAGTATAGAACAACTGAAGACCTTCTGCAGAGGCACTTCTAAAAAGCATTATGCGGGTCACTCTGTAATTGGGCGCAAGCCTGTTGAGAGCTCAGAACAAGAGAGGGATAATAAATTCATTTTGAGTACAAATTTCTGCTTTGGTCAGTGACCATTGGTAGAATATCTACTCGCTTACCTCAAAAATAAGCAACATCTGGAGTGTAACATAGCTAATCAAACATATGGTTAAAGGGTCGCACTCCCGCGATTGGCTCAAACGTATTTCTCACGTGTAAATTTCGACAAGCATAACACAAATATTTTTGTTCAATTTTTCGCTAATATTTGAAGGTAAAATTTTATTGAAATATCTTAAACAAATAATGCGTCGACAAAGTAAGTTTTCTACAAAACTGATTCTTTTCGTTCGCCCTACGCATTAACACATATCAAACATCTGAGTGCTGAGATCTCAAGTCCTCAGACGGAGGACAGAATTCACGCAGGTATCAGTAGTATCTTTCTAAAAAATTTAACTAAAAGTTGACACAGTCTTATTTATATTTGCTATTGAGATTGAGACATAATGCTATTTGAGTGTAAAAACTTACAAAATTAATTGTTACAGGAAGCGTGTGAAACAATACGGAAATGTTCAGGACGCAATTACATCTGTGTGGAATAATTTTGGTAATCATCGTACCTGCAATTATTTCCATGGAAGGTAAGTACCTTGCCATTGTCATTTAATTAATCGTTTTTTAAGTTTAGTATTACAATTACATAAATTCTCATTTTCAATTCTAGTTTGTTTTTTCGTTCATGTTCTACCTACCACTTTATAAACAGTACATTTACATTTAATACAAACTAACGGGTTTGCACATCAACAGTACATTTACCACAAAGTTGTTGTTTGCTCGCATTTTTCTTGTTTATTAAAGTGTATGATAGAAGATTCCGCCGTTCGTTCGTGTTTGTCGTTGTTAATTAGAGCATACGAAATGATTCAACAGTGAGAAAAGCAGCAAGTTGTTTCATTAGCGATTGTAATTAATATTGTTTCTATATTATTAACATATTGTTTCAAATAACCGCAAACTGAGATTTTTACCGTATTTTCAAAAGTTACATTACTGTGAAAGTAACACATTTTTGAACAGATGGCTTTATATGCAAGAACCCATCCTTTCATCAATATCGCTAGTAACCACTACCTATAAAGTATTTTTATTTATTTTAGGAATAGACGTCTATTTACTGAATAGAATATAAAACATAGATGTTATGCATAAGATCTAATTGCCCTGGCTGTCAGCCATTTAAGTAAATTTTTGAATTTACCAGCCAAATGCAATTAAATATTATATCAAAATATATGAAATATATGAATCCATTTTTTGTAGACGTTTTTCTCCATTCTACATTTTTTCGAACTTTTTCCCTAATTTTTATTTCTTATCACCGTATTTGTTTTAGTCCGCAGGTTGCTTTGAGGAGCCATGTTTTACTTCATCAATATGGCGTTTTACATCAAATTTTAAAACTCTCCCGTTTACCGCAACCATGTTAATCTTTAGCTTGAATCGCCATTATTTTTCTAACAATACTGCACGGATTGTCCTTTGTGATCATAATACAAACGCACTGCAACGACAGGCAAAATGATAATCTGAAAAAAATGTTTAGTAACGAAGGTTACGTCAATTTGATAGAGATCTACGAAGAATATGACAACGTAATATGAGCAATCCTTTTTACACGACATTCCAGGGTAGGTCCGATAAATTTTTTGCCTGACCCTGTACCTATACTTATTTCGAACGGCAGATTCTACTATCATTATAAAGAATCTTATGTGTTAAACATTTTTCTGTATATCTTTTAACTAAGAGTGTATACGTCATGCTGAAAATGAAATACGATATACGGCAAATAAAAAAAAACAAAAGTTGGAAACTGTCGGTTTCAACAGGGTGGTGCACCCGCGCACAACTCCCTAATCGTGCGAGATTACATATCGGACAAATTTGTCCATTGTCCACGGCATTCGATCGATAGGTAGGTATTATATTTAGTAGTCTTCTACAATAACCAAAGACGAGAACTTACCGTCAATTCGGAGCACTATGACCGTATGTTAACTGATTATTTTGGGAGGGAAATTGAAGATTATGATCTGGTTTCTGGAAGACACCTGGTTCCAACAAGATGGGGCAACGATCCACAGAACACTCGGCCTGGAAGTACCGCGCACAAACGGTTGCTTGAAAACTAAACGGCATAATTAAAAAAAAATACAATTTAATTAAGCCACAAGAAAATACAATTATATGTAATTTTTAATTTACAAAATAAAACGGTGAGCACGGCGACAGTTAGCGGGACGGTACCGTATCCTGAGCGCCACCAGGAGGTTCGGAAATCCTGCTTCTGGGCACGGTCGGCGTATTCGGTACGGTTTCGGAACCCTCCAGGTAATCAGATGGAGGAAACGTAGATTCCAGGGAACGGGCGGTCGGTTACTAGCGAATAATCTCAAACAGAATTACGGTACACGGAAACGTTATCGGTTTCCCAAAGCAGGAACGGAAGTACGACTTAACGGGAAATAAAACAAAGGAAAGAAAATCCGTTTTATAATTAACTGAATGAAAATATCAAGCGCGACCCTTGAAATTAAACGGTACGGTATAATGCAAAATTGAACACTTTGAAAATGCGACAATATCGACAGATCACAAAGCTCTCTCTAAATCATGCTGTTACCTTATATAGAATTCCCAAAAAATGTGGAATGTGGAAATCGAGGTGGAAATGGAACTCAGATTTTCCAGCCGGCCGGCTTGGGTGATAACGTTCAACATTTTTGGCTTCCCGTCATCATACAATTGCGGGACCAGTCCCAAAACTCATGCCAATTACACTAGACAAGATCTAAGCAGACGATGTTTGCTGCAATACAATTGATTAGCTACCGGTATTTATAGTATACTCAATCAAATAGCCTGGTTGAAGTTTCCAAATTCGGTGGTCCAGTAAGACTCATTGTTAATTGCCATTTTTGAGTCAAGCGACGGGTTACTTTATTAGATTTATCTACGTGCAAGCGAGCGACCTTGCCGGTTTCTATCCTAGTTTTAAATTACCACTGAGCAATTGAAATCGGCCACTCATTTGTACAATATTCATTTTCCCTCCTCTTCCAATCGAAGGGAGCTTTCGGATACTGCTAATATCTCTACGGGAACGACTACAAACGCCAAATTAGATACAGTATCTTGATTTCCTTATCGGCGGCTACAACAACGCTACAACTTTAAGTAATTAGTTTTACCTTCTAGTTCCAACTCCTAGAAAATAAGTAAAAAGGTCCAGAACTACAATTTCTCGTAAAGAAGCGGCCGTTTTCAGTTCGTCGAAGCACTGAGTGTTTAGTAAAGCCGATAGCTTCCATCGATGTACCCCTGGTTAACATAGCAGTAAATTGACCTTAAAGAACCCGCGATTTGGTGCCTTTGGATGTCCTTTTGTGGAGGTATGCGAAATATCGTGTTTACGCGAACAATCCTCAAACGCTTGATCAATTGAAGGCCAACATTCGTGATGATATGCCCGAAATGTGTCACAATAAATTGAAATTTAAATTCCATCATTATCTGAATATTTAATGTGTTCTTTTATTACTTTCCCAGTCGACTGGAGTACAAATGTCACGAAAACAACGATTGCTTTGACTTTGTTCTGACTTTCATTCGTATCTGAATTCCCAATCCCAATATTCATTCTTGGTAAGTAGGTAAACCACATCATATTTGAGGAAGACCTACATACCTATGAAAGGCACGTTTTTGAAATATTAAACACGTATTCTTGTGTGCATGTGTAATACACAAATTAAGCTTCCTTGACGGTTGCTGTACAAATGATGTAGATATAGCGGATATAAAAATAAATTGATGTCACAAGTGTTCCCAAAATGGGTACCATCCTTGAAGTACCTCAACAACGTGTTACAAAATCGATATTTATATGTTCACGAGCCGTAATTTCAACTTGAAATTCTGCAAGCGAATGCTTAGGCGAGTCACTGAATTATGGCGAAATGCAACTTATTGTATTCGTACATCACGATTAAGTTATTATATGCGCACTGATTCGATATGTGTCAATGGTTTCGTTTATTAAATACAATGGCGAAAACCTAAATAATCGGAACGTCCCGCGGTTGATTACTAATAATTTCATTATAATGACATTAACGACGTGCAATTTGATTGCACAAGCTGTGATGCAACTTTCAGTCTTAAAAACGATATTTTTTTAATTTTAAACGATTGTTGTAAGCAAACGCCGTTTCGGGTCTGGTCACTTTAACACGGAAAACGTTGCAGTTAGAACTTCCGCTATAAGTAAAAGTGAACGTGCGTATTTCAAGAGAAATAAAGAGAATCAAGATTTTATTTCGAGCGTAACGTACTTACTTCTCATTTAATTTCAAGTAAAAATTGTAGGTACCTACCACAAAGATTGATAATAATAAGCAGTTGTACAAACTAACAATGACAGGCAATCTTTCTGCGAGTACTTACGCGTAAATTAGAAATCGACCGTGTGGTAGTGTAAGGGAAGGCAGAGAAATCGAATTAAATTAATTACCGAGATATGTTGTTTTATATTAACATAACCGATGAGATCCATTTTTTCTAATTTGTGCACCTTTTTCTATGGAGAAATCGCGAAACGTATTTTTGAGTGTTGTGTGGTCTTGAGAGTAACACACTGAATGTGTGACTGTACAAAACTCAATGCTTCCATTGCGTGGGAGATATTTTAAGAATAAAAGTTTGCGATTAAGTACTGGCCTTTTATCCCATCCGGGCGGGTGGAGCACTGGAAAAATAAATCTCGCTAAGCTCTTATTTAATAAATTTGCGTACCTACCACATTGATGCAGCAAGAAAGTTGTTCTCGAAGAACTTCGAAATCATATACCTTATTATAAAGTAGGTAGGGGAAAAGTAAGCTTACGGGCATTGACATTTCGATGAGCGAACTCAAATAACTTAAATTGTGCTTGATGTGAATCTTTTTTCAAGTAAATTGTTTTCTCGTTATTATTAAGAAAACTGGTACTGATGTGACTATTGAAGTTACAAAAAGTAACCTTCGGTAGTAATAGTAAGTCCCCACACAAATGGCATGAAAAATTAAATAAACGTGTAAACAAATATAGCAAACGAACTCCTGGGTATGGCTATAGCATGTGCAAAATCAAATTTTGAAATTGGTGCTATATTTGCTTTTATTCCAAGCGGCTGTGTCGAATTTCATTGACCCAAAATCGTCCTCAAACCTTCATTTTCATGCCTATTTTCTGTCAGGAAATTTTAGTTTCCATGACATAGGCAGAGCACACTACGGGCGCATTTTTGACATTTCCAAATGTCTATAATGACTCCTGTCATCACTGACAAATTGACATTAATCAAAAGTTCTATATAAAAATTGAAATTTTATATTAAAAGACGATTTCGGATAAAATTTAATACAAAACTCGTCAGTAAAATGTCATTACGTGATTCGAAAATTAAAGTACTCGGCCCCAAAGGGACCTCGCCAGTAATGTATCATTTTCCTGACATTTATGTAAATAACTATTATTGCTTCCAAGTGCCTATGTATCAATTTCATAAATAAAAAGTTTGCACTTCGGTTTATACATGGTCGAGTTGCGAAAAGGGCACTGTGAATTTTGAATCGATTAGACTCTACTTTTGGCATTGCGTATTAATGGCTAAAGGTATGGCTATATTGAATATCATGCACTTCATTTCATAACTAACGGAGATGTCAAAACCAAAAGGGCCTCCCTTATTTTTTGGCCTACGTTGTCATTTCACGAACTCCAATCTACAAATTTGATAAAGCTGCAAAATTTCATCGTAATCGGTCTATTTGTTTTGGAGATATCGTGCTAACGGAGGGACTTACGGACAGACACCGCAAAATTATAAACTCTTAGCTAGTGACTATAATTTAATTTACAAGAAAAATAATAAATTTACAAATTATAGTCACTAAATCATGTGAGCAGGTAAGGCTACACCTGAGCACCACTGCACTGCACACCGTCCCACTGCTCAGCAGGTGCGGTTAAGTCGCCTAGTGCGAAGGGTCACTAAAGGGAAAGTGGCGGCCCGCTACTGGTAAATGCTAAAACAAAGTTAAAACGCACAGCAATTTCCTTAAGCGGGAACAGTAAATAATCGGATTCGGTAGCGGTATCTACGGGAAAACAAATGCAGGAAAGCGAAACAATATCCCCCTATCCTCATTTAGAATTAATGAAACGGAAAGTAACAAAAAGTTTATCTTCCAATTAAACGGAGCGATAGATATTAGAAAGATAGATAAACGTATAAAGCAAAATAGTTAATTGTATAAATAGAGAAGAAAGTGGAGTTTTTCAACTCGAGTTCAAAGTTTGACACATATGACATGAGCGTAGATATATCGTATGCAATAATGACGTTTGACACATAGCAATCTAGATACGGGTATGTTTTAATTTTAAATGTCATTATTAAGATTAACGCAGCAATTGTTTTTTACTTTCCTCACTAGAGAGGAAAATCACATGTTCTTCGCCCTTTTTAGAGACGAAAGTAGTTGTTTCTAAAGTAGTTTGAGAAAAAAATATTTTAGGTTCCGGTTAAAAGGCAAACTCATAGCCTCTAAACAACGGCTTTTACCATTCGGCTACGCCATGGAGGGAAAGATGGGTTTTACCTGCTCGACGGCGTGTGCTTGCGATAACGCTCGAAAATTAAAACTTCTGTAATTAATTGTGCGGCCCGCGGACAAATTCAAATTAATTAATACCCCACACGACTAAGTAGAATGACGTGTACTGCAACACATTTGTTTTGCTACTGTTAATTTCAGTTACTTAATTGGGCGAATTGAAATTTCTAAAATCGGTAGTACAATTAACAAACATTGTTAATTGGAATTTCTCAAGTCGGCATAAGCCGCATAAGGGTCTTTATCACTCTGATAACGGCGTAAACTTGCATGGCTTTGCAGTTTTAATGCTCCTACCTAAGATAGGAAACCAAAATCATCTAAATAATTACCTACTTAACGTGCTCAGATTCTAAAATATTTTCGCCCTCGTCTTCTAAATGAGAAGAGCTTTGGGACAATGGAAATATCTTGACGGGAACATAGATTAAGCAAGCCTACGCGGAAATTATTTAGAAAAGGAACTCAGGAGGAAGTTTTAAGGACAGAGTAAAGAAAATTTAAAGAAAACATGACCTGGATTTTATTTTTTCCTATACAGTCAAATATTTTCAATTAATATTCTAATATTTTAATTGTGCACGGAATACTTCAACAATAATACAATAATCATGATACAAACTAAGAAGGCACATTTCAAATAAAAGACATGAAGGTAATATTACAACAACATGCTAAACCAATTTTCAGAAAACAAATTTTATAAAAAAAATACTCGAAATGTCAGATTTGTGTCGCCTTAGGTGGGGATTGTAACGGGGGCCCACTATGCAGTTAAAAAATTTTCGATTTTATTTGGGTACGAACACGTAAAATTTCATACGTATGTGCCGATTCATGTAAATAGAAATCTCGAGTAGGTTTATTGGCGACAGCCAGGCGGGTTTGGATGGCGTGGGATACGATTACATACGATAAAAACAGACGCGAGTCATCAAGTGTGCGTTGGTTCCTTTTCGGTTTTTCATAATGGCAACGATTACAGATAAGAATGGCAGATTGCGGTTGGCGGGGAAGTGTGACGCAAGCTGCGGAAGGGTTGCGGAAACTGATGGATTCAAAACTCCATAACCCGGAAACGATTGAATTTAGGTACATTACGCTTATTACAAATTTTGCTTAACATTGAGAGAAGAATTGAAATATTGCGCCTTTATGAGCAACTCTGTATAATTAAAATTATTACTACCTAGCAAACATTGAAGAACCTCAAAACTTTTGTATAAAACATATTTCGATATCTTGTATATTTTCGTCGATAATCGACCGTTTCCAGACTTATCAGCGACCCTATGTATCTTTCTAGCGACTCCCTTCGAAAATTTACCAAAAAAGTCGGCGTGAAAATGTATCTCATTCTTTGTCGAAAAATTCAACCGAAAGCATAAGGTTACGCTGGTTAGAAAACAAAACGATTTCCTCTTAATTAGTATAATGCAAGATGATGCCAAATAAATCGAGTGTGAATGTTTATTTCTCGTTTGTATTCCAATGAATTGTGACTATAGTCGATACTTATTGCCTCCAAAGTTACTTAAAACATTGTACAACACAATGCCTCTAATCAACGTATGTAGATTGTGGATGCCTTCAAGAGACGGAAGAAACAGCACTACTTATTTATTACTTTTACTTGTTTTCTCAAAAGGCCGCTTTTTTGGAGATAAAACTTAAAACGATGTTTAAAAGATGCAATGCAATGGATCATATAACGACTTCCCGTAAATTGACCTATAGAGTATATAGGTATAAAAATTGATCGTCAGAAAATTGTTATGCAAGACGGGAACTTTGAATAATGTTCGAAGAGGATTTACGTTCAAGCACCTTTTGGTATACATCCATCGTATCGAAACTACGTCAAATAACCATAAAATTTGAGAGTAAAATTGAACGAAGGAGGAATATTAAGGTCTTTACTTGCTGTACACGTTCTAAGTACTTCTAAAATACCAAATAACCGTATGGCTTTTAAAATTTTACAACTTTCTGCCATTTACTACCACTTTTGCCAGTTTCATTGAATTTATTTAATTGAAATTTATGCAACAGACAAAATTTATGTTTCGATCGTAAAATACTTTTCCGGATAGGAAGAGAATCGTAAACGTCTCTTATTGACACTTGTATGCTGCTGATGTTATACAAAAAAAGAACCTTCGTCGTGTTCTTATATTCAAATTAAGAAATTTGTTTCCGTACTTATACCGATATACTTTCACAATTTCTAAGCTATTTGTTCTGAACGTCAACGTTGTACATAGGTCAAAGTATGTGCTTCGGTTTTTGTAATAAAATAAACTGCACCAATATAGACAACGAGCGACAAGTCACTTCCGGTTGACGAGTATTTACCAAAATTGAATCACTTAGTCTCTTGCCCATTGGCTACCTATTACTAAAAACAGAACTGGAAAGTTTGAAACCGTTCCCGAGTTATCATGTACACAGGCGGACGGGCGGCCAGACAGACGGAGGGACAGAAAGCCCAAAATCATAAACTCGCTTTTTGTCGCTCGTTAATAAAGTAACTGTGTCTCAAACTACAATTATAGTCAGGAGTCATCAATTTTGAAACATTATCTGGTGGTGGTGGTTAGCTCATTTCCCCTCCACAATTGTACTTGATTGTAGGTTTTGTAACGGGCACCCTTGAATGGGGTTGATTTCTGTTTCTTCATTTCGTTACGGTAGCCCAGTTTTAGTGAGCATACAGGGTGTTTTCATTAAATTAAATTAAATTAAAATTAATTAAATAAGTCCGTAGATTCCTAAATAAAATTGGCGATCTTTATTTTTATGAGTGACTGGTTTCCTTGTGAGTACAGTGGCGGCTCATGAGTTCTGAAAGAGGATAAGCACAAGTGTAACTCATACCTATTATTTTTTGTACATCAAACAAATTCTTCTATTTTTGAAGTCGTTAATGACTTTGTTGTTAAAATTGGGAATAGACTGATAGAACTTCCTTTCTACTTATAGCTCGGCCAATGCGTTCAGTCGTGTGTCAATCGTGTAGGAACAGCACTTAATAATCTC